GAGCTCTAATCAGTCCTGTATTTCCTCCTCCATCTACCGACTTCGCTGTGGCTTTAATTAAAAGATTACAATCTGCACTTTCAGCAGTGTTCGCTGCTTGGCTCTGTGTGTTAAACGTTACGCAGGAAAATGTGAGAAAAGCCTCTTTGTTGTCACCTCTGCTCCCTCAGAAGCAGCCAGTGACCTACTGAATCTTGCCCTAGTTCCAGTTTAAACTCCCAGTTTTCCCATTTCGGCTTCAGCTCTTGCGGCTGTTCCCAGCTGGGGAGTGTCGGGTTACAGTGGCTCCTAAACAACGCCTCTTTCTCGGGGTGCAAACACAAAGAGGTTTCTGTTGTGTGTGATGAGCTACACCCGGCCGGTGACCGATCCTGCAGCCCGGTCTGCTGCCCCGCTTCTCACAACCACAACCGCACACTCCTACTGCACAAATGACAGGGAGCTCATAAAGCCTCGCTATGTGTTTTTGGTGTGGTTCTGTTTTCATGCAGGCGGAGTTGGACCGCTCCCATTTCCTGCTCTAGGATTTATTCCTCTCCGTGTCCTCATGTCGGGAGGAATATTTGTTTATTTGTACTCATATTTAAGATTTTTTCAGAGATGATCTTTTGAGCATTTCTGCCCCGTTGTGTAACAGGGTTGTGCCATCGGGAGAACAGGGTGGTGTCAGAGGTCACGCAAACCACATCTGAACCCACGAAGTATGGCTCCGTAATGAATGTAATTACCCCTCACTAAAACTGCACCCTTTTCCTTCATCGTGATGTTTTTGATGGTTTCGTAATGTTTCAGAGGTGGGGTAGCTTCGTCTATCTGTTAAAGTCATGACATTCTGTCATTTAGAAGTAGGTCACTTTTCCTTTAGTGGTTCTCACAGCTTTAATGAGACCTACCCACCACAGTGATGGAGGGAAGATGACCAACATTTGCCGTGTACATGACATCAGAAGAGTACATTCAAGTTCATTATAATGAGCTTTGGTCACAACTGGGTCCCTTAAGGCCAATTAATGTTTTCTGCATCTGCAAGGGTTCGCATGACGTAGATTTAATCATCCACCGTAATCCGCCCAAAATGTGTGCCTTCATGGACTGTTGGCACTGCAGGCGTCTCCTACTCAACATAATTAAATCACTGTTTGGTATAAGGAGAAACTGTATGAGGTGATTCTCTGTCATCCACACCTTTATAGTTCGTCACTGAAAGAGTTGTAAAAGGTTAGAACTGTGGAGACGCTCTGATTTGTACAGGCTTCACATCCAGAGCGTCCAAAACACAGTGGGAAGTTCTAAACTCTCCAGGAAGCTTGTGCTGTAGTCACCCGCTGCGCTCGACACAACTCAGGAATAGTCATATTAACACGGTGCTGCAACCGTCTAGAAATATAAATAGATAAAACTGTTGTTCTACACTTTCAAAGTTCAGATCAGTCAGCACATACTGACATGGAGCATAAATACTTTCAAAATATAAAAAGAGTAGCAGCTTCTTGATCTCGACATCAGACATATTTACTGTTTGTTGTCCGATGAAACAATACTTTCCTAGAGTCACACCTTTTACACCGTCACATTCAAGACAGTTGCGTCGCCCACTTTACGCAGCAATCCCCGACATTTGGTGGTGTGACCGTGGATTACCTGCAAAGTTTAACCATCACAGTTTTACTACCACTGCTACTTTTTAAAATACCTTGAACAGCACTCAGAGAGCTTAGTCCTCTACTAAGGTCAATGCCCCACCTTGCATAGTTGAAGAAATGCCTGGTAGTTTTCTTTGTCTAATCCTGCTTAGAGACAAACAAACAGGCAGACAAACAGCACTAAAAGCAAAACAGTTTGGTGTGGCATGGTAAATACAGTTGATCGTGACAGTCATGACAATATCTGTCTCTGCTTGTTTTCTTTTCTGTCTCTCGTGCTACGATCCAAAATAAGTCTAGTCTCGTGCGTGTCTGTCGGGTAGAACAACAGCTCGGAGTTCAGACAGAAATGTTACTCAGTCCAACCTAGTTAGATTGAAGTCGCAACTGTCACCGAAAAGTGAGCAGGGTGCTAATGTAGACATGAACCCGACACATTCAGTTTTCATCACAATAAGCTTCACTACAACTATTAAAGTGATTCATTATTCGTTCGTTTGATTGGTGGATGTTCACCGCATCACTCTGCATGAATTTCACAACATATTTTTACTTTTCACCATCTGGCCACCATCAAGAGAGACTTTGAAGTGAAATGGTTCATGTTATTGACTATCACTCCTATTAAAACAGATTAACAATCCATCCATCTATCCCTTTATCCTGCTATCTCTTCAGTTTTGAGTGCAAACTTACAATGCTGACATTGTAGATATGACCACAGTAAAGCTCACAGCTGTGTGTGCTGAACATCTGAACGACATCAGTTTGATGTGTGAGGTGACTCTGGGTAACCGTGACATCGTCATTGCCGGGAGACTCTGAAGGGAAGGAAAGTGTTGTAAGCTATAGTAAATGTTTGCTCGCAGTGTGATGGGTTTTAGCACGTGTGCGCTTCCTTTACACACACACGCACACGCAAACACACTTGCTGTAGCATGCGTTAATATCATGGGTTGTTTTCAGTCACACACGCTGATGGTTATCCTGCTGGATAAGTGTGCAAATATTTGTTTTCCCCACTTGAATAGATTCACGGTATGCTGTCGGTGTTTGCATTACACACACACACACACACACACACACAGGCCTACAGAAGGGCCATATAGGGCAGCATAGAGCAGCAGGAGTGTGTAGTGTGTTGATGAAGTGAAGAGGTCATTTCACTGTGTGAGTGTGTGTGAGAGAGAAAAAGCAAAAGTCCAGTCTCCTCTTTGTCAGTCTGTAATTGAAGCCACATGTCTGACATTCGGCCGTCCACCCTCCTCCTGTTTCCTCGCTTCCTCCATCTTGATTTCACTCTCTCCTCATCCACCTGAGCCTTCATGCATACACCTTTTGTCATCCATCTTTTGTGCTGTTACGCAACTAAACACAGTTTGTCCGGACTGTAGCTGTGAACCTTAGAGTTTATTTTCTACATGGCTTCAGCTTTGCATATTGAAGTTTCCCTCACATTGGCTGAGTCGCCTATGACTCAGTTTCCAACTGGAAACCTCCTTCTTACTCTGCCTGCCAACAGAACTGGAGGGTCGAAGTTGCATCAGAGATTCCCTCCTGAAGCGATGAGTTCAAGTCAGGATAGGACGGCGAAAAAAAGTGTTGTTTTTAAGGGAATGTCACACATTTGTCAGACGATATGACATTTTAATGGTCGCTGAGTGGGGAAATTATGTCATTTCTGTCTAATAAATAATACGATACAAACATGTTGTGATTTTAGATTATGGGTGTAAACACACGGGACACTTGAATACATGCAGTAACTGACCAAGTTTGACAGCAATAAACCACAAAAACATTACATAAACACTCATATTACACCCAGATATATGGAGGCTCATTCATGACAAAACTACAGAAAAGGGAGAAAATAGTTGAAAAAGTATGTTCAACTAAATAAATCACCTAATAGACATAATAATCTCCCAGCATGCAGTGGTGTACTTCCATAAAGTATTTAAAAAGCATTTAACAAACTAATTAAGGAATTAGTTGAGTTTTACACCACGTTGTACTTATCACATCTACAAATGATTTGGACACATGGGCATTAATACAACCTTGTAGTTTTAACAGGAGACTTGATTGAAAACAATTATGAACAAGTTTTCTCAGCAATGCACCACAGTGAGGTCCAAAAAATAGACAAAATCATATATTAAAGACTAATACGGAGGCTCATTCATGACCAAATTACAGAAAAGAAACAAAAAGTATGACGAATAATAGTCACCATCTGCCAAAATGTATTGGTATATGTATTTCAAATAGAGTATGAACAATGCATTCAACAAAAGTCTTTTACTTTTAAACACTCTCATGTGACTTTTTTTTTTTTTTAAATATCCTGTATTTAGTTACAGTACTCCAAAAACTGTTAACTCCTAACATCTAGAGCAGCTTACCTATTTCTAATGTAATTGGTGTCATTTTGCTGATAGCAGCAGAACAAACCATCTTTTTTTTCCCCCACAATATGAACGGTATTAGAGAAAATTGGAGTTCGCTGATTATTGCTTGAAAGCTTACAAATTAATCGCTTCGTCAGTTTTCTCCTAAATTAAGTCAAACATGCAGATTTTCTCTTTTCTTCTATCGCTGAGGACTGATTGTCTTTGGGTTCAATGGAAGAAACCACCCATTTGAACATGTCACCTTGGAGATTTTTTGGGGAACATGAAGCCATAATTATTTGCTAAGTGCTGTGAGACACGAGTTCAGGGGTCTGTTCTGCAGGTTTTCTTTGAAAATGTTCAGAAAAGTACAGAAGTCCAGCTGTTTGCAGGAGATATATGTCAGTGTGTTATCAGCACATCTCCTGCAGGGTTTTGCTTTGGCTGCCTCCTGTTTATTTTAGTCATAACACACCTGAACATAGAGGAAGACCTGCACTCAGTCACCTTGCTGAGAGAAAAGAATGCGGTGAAGGAGGCGAGACGATGGGGGGATGAAAGAGGAGATAAAGGGGAGGAGGAGGAGGTCTGTCTGTTAACCTCTGTGTGTTTTGTGGATGTATCACCACACTGAGACTCACACACACACGCAGAAAGAGAAACTTGACTGATGGGGGAGATTCTGCGGCAGTGAAACCTGATGTTAAAGTTTCTGATTGGCTTCTTTCGTCTTCCTTGAGGGAGAGCTGCAGGGGAACTTCAAGGGAAGGTGCCAATAAAGAATTAAACAGTGTGTAATTACAGACCGGCTGCCACGGGCTCCTAACGATGTGGCTTTATATAATTTATATAATTATCTGTCTGTCTCCTCCTGCATGTGGCCTCCCGTCTGATGGGGTCTCGCATTAAATATCATCTGCACATGTATTCATAGTGTTTCGTTTCTCTTTTCTCGCCGCAGCACTTCTCTGAGCTCCTAGACGACCTCTCCCAGGATGCTCTGCTGGGCCAGCTGCTCAGCGACCCCTTCCTGTCCGGGGGGAGAGGCGGCATGGAAGCCATGGAGGGGGAGGACGGCGGCGACCTGTCCCCGTCTTCCCCTCTCCCCCCTCACATCACCGCCGAGCACAGCTACTCGCTGTGTGGCGACAGCAGGCCTCAGTCGCCGCTGTCACACCTGACCGGAGAGCAGGGCAGCGAAGCAGGTGAGACCCAAACACAGTGATGATCAGACAAGAAAAAACACATTTGACTTGATAAGAATTAAAAAGCAGCAGCACTAGTTTTCTGGTGTGACCTGTAGCTTATTCTGGCTAATATTAGCAGCTGATTCCTTCTCTTCATGTGTCCCAGTTGACCTGTAGCTGATGTAAACATTTAAAAAGTTTAACCAGTAAAACAGTGACAGCTCACCTCAACACTACATTCCTCATTTCTTGTGTTCACATAAAAATCTCATATTTTTAACCCTCTAAGCAACATCTTGGTTCTCTTTGCTCCTGTTGTTTTTACTGACTGTTGGCTCATTTTTCACTTCCTGCTCCTCTGTGTAAACACACCACCATGACTAGAAGTAGAGAAAACTCAAAAATGTCTTTTGTGCAACATGACACAGTTAAAATGCCATAAATGAAAAAGTTGGAATTCTTTGATTACATCCAAACTCTTTTGAGGCTTTTGTTTTGAAAGGGCTCTTTATCATTTGAATTGAATTTCCCTTCTGGGATGAATAAAGTATTTTTCATTTCATCATGTACATTAACAGCATTTACAGCTTGATTAAAGACGTTTCTTAAGCTGCCAACTCAAAAGTTATTCTGTTTCATGGATTATTACCGCCCTATGAAACATTACGGAATAATTTTCAACCATTAACTTGGAAACCGTTCAAAAATATGCATCATAACGTTCATTTTTGTCTTTTGTAGATATTGACATGCAGTTTTGTTACAGTTCATAACGTCTACTTAGATGCTAAAGTGTGCTGTATTATGTGGACGCTGTGTGAAGTGATAACAAGAAAGAATCTAATCTAGCCTAATTATTAAAGAGCCGCACCCAAGATTTGAACATTATGGAAACCAAAACACAGTTCTCACACACCTTGAAGTATTTATGTTGGCTATGAAGGACTAAAAGTATTCTGGGAGTGAATGAATCTTATCTTGTGAAGCTCAACGTGTTGTAAATAATAGAGTTCAAAACAGTCAAACAGTGTTCAATTGTAGCGTAAAAATGATGTTTTAAAAACCTTCAGATCAGGTCGATAAAGATACGTTTTCACATGTTACTGCCTTAGTTAGTAGTCTGATGCATGTCGTGTACAAACACAGCAGAGTCTGACGGCGAGTGGCCCATGGAGCAGGAGGAAGCCATCGAGGGCCTCCTGTGTGAGACTCCCTCTCTCCTCCCCACCCTCTCCCTCTCTCTGGCTTCCAGCGGGGGGCCCCAGGCGCCCGAGGGCCCCGCCGCGGCCCCCGCCGCCTCCCCGGCCCAGACCACAGTCAGCAGCCTCAACCAGGGCAAAGGCATCAAGGTGAGCGAGCCGAGACACGTGACAGAAACTGATATCTGCGGTCGTCTCTCACTCTTTGTACCGCTGAGTGTCGTCTATCTCCTCTCACCTCTCCTGTGTCTCTGTCTGTGCTTACAGATAAAGGAGGAGAACATCATCCCGCAGATTAAACTGGAGCCCCATGAAGTGGACCAGTTCCTCAATCTTTCACCCAAAGGTCAGAATTCAAACTTTGCCCTCTGTCTTCTTGTTGTTTGATGCTATGAGGACCCCTGCTGGCCATCTGATAAAAACACCTTATAGTGACCTCATGGTTGATTTAAACCTCAAGAAGTTTCAAGGTGTTCTTTTTTCTCCTTTTTCATCTTCTCATTCACTGTGGGCTCATTTTCACAATATAAAGCATCTCTATGGAAGCAGCATAACCAGGACCTTGTGTAGAATCTGTGTAATGCAAACAGCTTATTTTTTGATTTAAATCTTAGATTTGGTTTATTTTCCCAATGAAATGGGGTATCATGTGTGATTTGTTTAAGGACTGTTGTAAAGTTGAAAATTAAGCCTTTTTTCCTGTTTTTAACGTTTCTTGCTCTGATGAATGGCAGTCTTTTGACATGCAGTATGAGTCTAAGAATTCAAATTCTAAAATCAACAACAAGACCTGAAAGCAGAACAAACACTGTGGCCATTTGCATAAAAACACCTCTAATCAGGATTCTTCTCAAAATCTGCACCTAAATTTTCTTCTCAGAAACCTTCATTTATTTAAATCACAGCAGCTGCCTTTCTTTAATGCCTTTTAATAAGTTTTTATCTTTCAATAGTTTCTCACATCCCAAGAAATGTGTAATTTCTGCTTTTGATATTCTTGTTTCTCGGTCAAACAACCAGTTTAGTTGACCAATCCATCGTCATGTTTCAGGTCTGGAGTCTCTGCAGATGCCTCCCACTCCTCCCAGTTCCCACGGCAGCGACTCGGAGGGCAGCCAGAGCCCCGTCCACGCTACCCCCGGTCTGTCCTGCCCCACCTCCCCCACCAGCCCTCCTCCCTCCCAGGCCAGCCTGAAGGTGTCTCCTCGAGCTGCCTCCTCCCTGTCCAACTCCCCTCTGCTCACCGCTCCGCATGTAAGGACTCAGTGTTCAACCCATCGCAGCACAGCATCACATACTTTATCACTAACCACTAGTTTCCACCACTTTGACTTCCCTCTGAACATTGTTTTCTCCACTAAGTGCCTCCACTCTCGTGCCAAATCAAAGAGATCCTGCAGATTTTATTCATATTTTAAACAAACTTTCATACTATCCAAAAATAACTGGTAGTGATCATCCCTTTTAAAATTTCTTTTAATTCTTCTTTTCTCCCGGTAGAAACTGCAGGGCTCAGGGCCGCTGATGCTGACCGAGGAGGAGCGTCGTACTCTGGTTGCCGAGGGTTACCCAGTTCCCACCAAACTGCCGCTCACCAAAGCCGAGGAGAAGGCGCTGAAGAAGATCCGCAGGAAGATCAAGAACAAGGTGCGCAGTTACTTGAATCAGACGTAGAAAACGGTTGTTTCAGTGGACAGTTTGAGCTTTGAAATGTTCTTTTAAATAAGTTAAAACCTGGAAAAGGTCAGCATCAATCACCAACAGTTTCCCTGAGGTTTCCACCAAAGGGATCAATAAAGTTCTATTCTATTCTATTCTATTCTATTCTATTCTATTCTATTCTATTCTATTCTACTTCATACTTGCAAAAAGATGTAAATACAATATAAGAGTCATCATGTAAATGCTCTTTCCAGCTCTGAGCAAGTATCTATTGTTATTTATTTTTATTAACAAGACAAAATGAAACCTTTATGAATATCCAACTTAGCTTTTTTTTCCCCAGTAACCAAACATATTAGTATACATTATACCTTCTAATCCCGATACAGGCTGCTCAGTGTAACTTCAGTCCAAACACATGAAGCAAACTTATGTTATTATTTCTTTTTCTAATTCTTTTCCCTTCATTGTTTGTCAGATTTCAGCTCAAGAGAGTCGTAGGAAGAAGAAGGAGTACATGGACGCTCTGGAGAAGAAGTAAGTCCTTATTCTTATTTTAGCTTTGACAGCTTATTTAATCATATTTGTAATTTTGCCTGCTGTCTTGTTCTTTTTTATGTTTTTCCAGCTGCATTCATGTGTTTTAGAGATGATTGAATAAAGTCAGATTATCAGGCGTTTAGTTAAAATCAAGCAAAGGTGCAAATCAGAACAGAAAATAAACTCTTGTGGTGAAACTGAGTGTATATGTGCATGTATGATGTGGAGTGTGTAGAGCAACGCCGATCCTTTTATTGTATTAGAATAAATTTAGCAGGGTTCATCCTTTAAATAAATAGATCTTTTTGGGGGTCCAGGGACAATGTTATCAGGAGGCGCCAGGCTTTGATTACTTATTTGTGATGCAAGTGATTGCTGCTGTTAGCGAGTGATTGTTTTAGCATGTAATGTAGTATTTGGAAGAGCCGATCTGCAACCAAAGATAGCAAAACTGAATCATAGCGTTATCAGGCTTTGAGGAATAAAAGCAGCAGATTACAATGTGGCAAACTGAAACAAAAGTCTGTGCACTACATTAAATGTTTGTACATTTAGAACAAATCATACTGTGTAGTCAAGCAATTCTGTAAAATCTGCAGCATAAACAGAGCAGGGGGAATATGGCTTGCAGATGGGAATGACTTGTTCAGCCACTGAGCCTGCAGTGCTGCTGTGTGTCCACAGGGTGGAGACCTGCTCCAATGAAAACAACGAGCTACGCAGGAAAGTGGAGACTCTGGAGTGTACGAACAAGTAAGAACAACACACGCTCAAGCATTTGTGATTGATTTGATATACAGTGAAGCTCTTTGTGTGTTCTGATCTGCAAGAAAGATGAAATTGGTCAATTTTTAGGGGAACAAACAGCAAATTTAGCTGTTAGACTTTACTACACAGCTATAAATCAGCTATACTGTCAGCGGTCAATGCAAAATAAATGCACGGAGTCGATGTTGATCCAACCATATCTCTCTGAACTGCTCAGACAGCTAAAAAACTCCTCTCAACCCTTTTTTTCTGTGCGTCATATAATTTGATACTCAAGCTGATCAGACGTTTTTACAGATTCCGCCTCTGCCAGTCGTGACACAGCTGAACACGACAGAAATGATGACTCCTGTTAGAAAGACTCAGGGATGGTGACAATCAAAACACCAGGAAATTCAAGAGGGGATCTAAAACGTCCCTCCCTGGATGCCTGATTCGGCTCATCCTGTGAGACTTCACTCTCTGCTTTTATTGCTGAGAGGAGTGGGGACAATGAGTCGGGCAACACTGGCTCAGTTTTGTTATTTGCAAATAAAGCTGAATCAAAAGCTCCCCGTGGATGCGTTCAGCTGCAGTTTTGCATCCATGCATAATCATGAGGCTATTTTAATGTAAAATGCTTGAGCTGCAGCAGATAGGCCGCGCTGTTTGCTCTCGTTATGCACGGATGAACTATGTTTGTGTGCAGCGTGTTAAGTATAGCTGACGGTAACGCAGCTGTTTTGGGTCTTGTTTTTACACTCAGTGGGCTTTACTGCCACTGTTGAAAAGCTAAATGAACCAGTGCAGTGTGTGCGTGCATCTGTGTGAGTGTTTTTTTTATTTATTTTTTTTGTTAACGCTGGTTTGCACCAGAGGCCTGTAAAACATATCCAGGATATCTTTTCCTTATCTGGCTTCACTAAACCTAACAACCACAGTCACGCTAAGTGGTCACATAAGGCTGGTTATCAGTGAACCAAGAGTTTCCGACCATAGCTTTGAGTGCGTTTACATAAAAGGTACAGCGCTGGCACCAGATGACCAAACATGGACAGGTGTAGAGCTGCATATTTCTCATAAGACAAACAAACTATAATCCTAAACTAATACGCATAAATTAAAACTATAACTCAGGCTAAAAGCAACACAGCCGCTGTAGCTTTTTCCAAGAGGACTGACTGGTCAGTAGGAGATGCTTTTATACACACTGAGCTATTATCTACAACATAACCTTCTCCAGAGCAGGTTAGATGTGCAGCATCAGTTACCATGGCGACGCACCCAGAGTTAAACCTGAAGTTACCTCGATGACCCCACATCCTCGTTGTCCAGACCTCAGCACAGTGGATAGGAGAGTTTAGCTGCATTTTTTTAATGATGCAAATCATTAACAGTGAACAGTTGTGCAAATCCTGCATTAAATAATAAAGTAAAAAACAGCTATTAAGCAGAATGGCTCGTGTCAGGCTAATTTATTGTATAATCAGATTGTTACGGCTGATGAGTTAACACGTAGGCAGCATTTTAATGATGCAGTAGGACATGTGGGACCTATTAATGCTACTCTATAATAATTCATCCTTGACAGTGTGCTATATTTTATAAATTGCATATATAAAGTTTAAATCTAAAAGAAACTAGTAAGTAATGTTTTTTCTCAAATAAAAGAAAAGTCATCGATTAAAAGCCAGTGATGTGGTCGAAGCCATACAGGCCGAGGAAAAAGACGAAGGTGGACAAACTCCAGCTGCTTGTCTTATAATGTGCATGTTGGTTAAGAATAATATCCATTTCTATACATTTATTCACTCTAATCGACTTTGCTTTGTTTGAAATGTGAGGAAGCTTTACAGTTACAGGAAAAGTTGAGTTAGTGTTAACAGTAGTAGTGCACTGGCTTTAAAAGGGCAGATCAAAATGAGGCTTTGTGCTAAAATATGACCAACTATACTTATTAAACAGTGGGACAAATAAAGGCCTGATTGTATTAAAGGCTTGTTAACGTCTGCAGTTGAGGCAAATAAATGCCCCAGACTGCTGTATGCAGTAACTTTGGGATGTGTGGTATTTGGATGTGGTTTTAGCATAAATAATAAAAATATTTTTAGCACTTTTTTGTTTTTTTTTAAAGGCAGAAGCATTTAAGAGACGAGATTTCCAGTAGGATGAAAACCAGCAAGATTCAGCGTCACAGCACGAGCTACTATCACAACAGGAAACAAGACTAAAAATCAATATAGGACATTTAGAACTCAACAAATAGTCATGCAAAGGCAGCAGATACGAAGAAAACAAGGGTTGGCTGGGTTAAATATCTGAGGTATTCAAGCTCCTTATTAGTTTATGTTTTCTGTTCCATTGTTGGCTTCTAATCACGAGGTCGGACTTCCACACACTGTGGACTGTTTTTATGACTAACCCGCTTAGCTCTCTAATAAAAGGGTCGGAGGAAAACTGTTGTGCTTTTTCTAGTGCTTTAAAAGATAAACTGCACATTTCTACTAACATTACTGAACAGTTTACCCTTCAAAGTTATCATTTTTAAAAATTTTACATTACACAGGGTCAATCATTTCTGACCCTGTGTGATGAAATGTCCTCGTTTTATTGCTAAGTTTTGGCCTTTTGTGTTTCCTTGGCTGCAGCAAACTGAGATCAAGTCAGACCAAATGAAAAGTTCACTGTTGCTAAAGCTTTAAAACAATATATTTACATCAGTCTTCAGAGTCAATGCACAGATCACAGAACAACAGCTGGTACTCTTAACTTCTAAGTGTTGTGGACTTAACTAACTTTGTGCTCTCTTTGCACACAGAAAACATACATAATACACACTCGGCTGTGTGTGTGTGTGTGTGTGTGTCTCTAGCATGTGCGTTTGGTCTTGTGTGTCTAACCTGTGTGTTTGTGTGCTGCTCCTCAGGTCTCTGCTGCAGCAGCTGCAGTCTCTGCAGGCGGTGGTGGCAGGAAAAGTCCCCAAATCCTGCAGGGTGACTGGCACCCAGACATCATCATGCTTAATGGTACTTGTGTGTGTGTGTGTGTGTGTGCGTGTGTGTGTGTGTACGTGCACTAACAGGAGATTGTGCAGATGAAACATTGATTAAAATATTGAATTGGAAACATCTGCTTCCATCACTCATTAGCAGCTTAGCATTTTGTGTGATTCATAATTTACTTACCCCCCCTCTCTGTCTCCACCCATCTCCTTCCTCCTCCTCCTCCTCCTCCTCTTCTTCTTCTCTCTCTGCCTTTGTTTTTGTCTCTCTGTAGGTGGTCGTGTTGTGTTTTGCTCTGTTTTTGGGGAGTTTTTATCCCAGCAGTTTGACTCCGTGCTCCACCATCGCTGAAACAGGCCTCACATCCAAACAGATGCCTGTCAAAGAGTCCTACACGACCACAGGTAGTCACAGCCTCTGATCTACAAACACATGTCAAACCCACTCAGAGACGTGAATCATGACTTTATAATGATGGCTTCACTTCAGTAGCACCTGTTATCAACACAGATGCAACGTGCTTTAGCAAAGAACATGAGCAGCATGAGTGACAGTTTATATAAAATGAATAAAATAACAATGTTCAGGAGGTAAACGAGTGTCTTAAATAAATACTAGAAGAAAGTATGAATACGATAATGAAAAAATTTGTGAGTAAATAGGTTAAGAATTCTATTCTTTAAAAAAAAAATCAATTTCCTTTTGAAAAGAAACTGTTATTTTGTTAAGATTTATTTAAAAATGTTGCTGCTTTTAATTAAGAAGTTAAACTTTTTATGCTCCTTTAAAGCTGCTGTGACAGATGTTTGCAAATTTACGTGGCTCAAAAAACAGTGCAACATCATAGTGGTAAATTCACAGAGAAGTTTCATCAAATTCTGCGGTTGGTCTCACCTCTGCGGAGTATTTTCGCCACTTTCAGCTCAGTTTTGGTTTAGTGGCCTGCAGCTTTAATGTTTTGGTTCCATTTGGTTCCATTTTCTGGTGCAGGAATAAAGAAAAAAAAAACTGTCTGTGCAGCAAACAGACAAACTTGTGGATCATTTAGTAGCAGAACAACCAGATATTTTTTCTCTGGTGCTGGTGGAGACTAAAATGGACCTAAAACAAGACTGAAAATAATAAAATGCATGATAATGATGCATTTTTTCCCCCCTGGATGTACAGTTAAGCAACTCTTTCCTCACAGTTTAGCCAGATTGATTTAAATAGTGATGGCGTTGCTGTGTTGTCACAAAAAATGGATTAAGGCAGGTTTAAGCCACAGCTTAGAAAAGCAGAGGACAAAGTGAATATGAAACTGAGGCTGAGACATGCTGCTACGCCGTACTGCGCACACAGAGTCTTTTCTTTCTACAAATTTCAGCTTCGGTGACCTGCCCTGCTGTTTCCATTGTAATGAATCATTAGTTCCCGGCTATAAAACTGTAGAGGTCCATTATAACGTTGCCGCTAATCAGATTCCACCTACGGCACTGCAATAACAGCTACAGAGACTGATTAGGAGAGTTGACCTTTCACTACATCCTCTCTACTACCTCCCACACACACACACACACACACACACACTTTTGTAGCAGATATAATTTTCTTAACAATCAAGTTCAGTTTCCTCTCCCATCATGTTCCCAGCTGAACTGCTTTTTTTTGTAAAGATAGATAATAATGTGGTGCTACAGTATCATTAAGTGTGTGTTGGCTGGTGTGTATTTCTGTGACAGACAGAGATCATATTGGTGTAGCTCTTCTTAAGCAGTAACACATCCATATAAACACCTACTAAATTCCAATGTATTCCTTCACCCCCGTTCAGTTAAGTCCAGAAGTCTGTTATCAACCTTCGAAGACGAGCAGCCGCACCTCCTCGGTCTGGGCGGTGAATATCCCGACCAATGGGAGGACACGCCAGCCGTCGTCATGGCAGCGTGGCGTCGCTCAGAGCAGCAGAAACTCGGGGTGGAGCCCAGCAGGGTGGAGACACACCCACCTTTCAGGAATAAAAGCAACGATACACAACCGCTGCTGGAAATCCACAGGTAAGCACGGCCGATGACAAGTTTGACTTTCTGGTTGACGTAAAAACATATAGACGGTGCGTGTATATGCCTACCTGCCTACTCTCTGGTCTCGCAGTATGACACTGATAGTACATCTTCGTGGGGCTCGGCGATACAGCTAAAAAATGTGTCACAACAAAATATGTCATGTCAGTTCAGTTACTGATAACATTCAATGATCTTTATAATGACCAGCAGACAAAAGGTTAAATTTAAATGGAACCACTTTAGCCGGTTATCAAGGTACTTGGTTATTCATTTGAATGCTGACACAACAATAATAAAATAAAATGTAAATGGATGCCGTCACCTTGATACACATCAATACAGAAAGCAAACAAAAACCTGGAGGTGAATGGAGGACGACCAGCGTGAGGCTGCTGCACCAACTGGACATTTATTTCCTACAGACTAGTCTGGACAGGCACCCCACACCCTCCATGTGCACCCAAAGGTCCATCAGCCAGTGTGTTGCTTAGGTAGAAAAAATATGTGCATATATATTTTGGCAATTGGCCTAAATGAATCGGAGGGAATTTGCTTAAAATGTCTGTGCTGCAAACTGCAATGAAAGCACACAGAGAAAACGCAAATATGATTGCAAGAACCCCCAGCGTGCTCCCTGCCTGGCCCGTATCCTATTACTGTCGCTCTCCCTGTGACATTCATCTCCTAAGGTGAGCTCATCCACGGCCACATGTGCCTCTTTTCACCCAAGAAACACCCAAAAACCTCCTCTGGTGAAGCCTACAGTTGGAGGTTGTGTTTGCGAAACGGACTTCTGGTCAAAAAACACCCACAACCCACACAAGGCTGACGGACTCGATGTTGGGGGGGGGTGCACAGAGGCTGGTGTGGGGTCCCATCCGGTGACACCCGGTCCAGGCCAACTGCTTAACCTCCAAGAACTTTACTTAGTTTCTCTATTTAATATGTATCAAAGTGAGATCATTCCTTGATCCATAATTATTTTTATTTTGATTGTTGTGTTAACATTAAAGCTACAGCCTGCGTACTTTGATAAACAGACCAAAGTGGTTAAATTCAAACTGAACCTTTAACTGGTCGTCTTTTGTGATTTGGTGATTCTTGGGGCGGCTGTGGCTCAGGTGGTAGAGCGGGTTGTTCACTGATGGCAAGGTTGGCGGTTTGATCCCCGGTTCCCCCCACATGCTGAAGTGTCCTTGGGCAAGACACTGAACCCCAAATGGCTCCCAATGGTAGATTAGCGCCTTGCATGGCAGCTCTGTCGCCATTGGTGTGTGAATGGGTGAATGAGAAACATTGTAAAGCGCTTTGAGTGCCGCAAAGGTGGAAAAACGCTATATAAGTGCAGACCATTTTAGCTGTATCCCCAGCCTTAACCAGCTCTATGAGTCAGTTTCATTAAGAACATTTACCCGCCTGTGTCTCCACTACATCTGTACATCCCAGTGATGAACATTAAATCTACATATTCGATCCAACTTTTTCTCTTGACAGGAAACAGCTTTCTTCTTCTCAACCCTCCTCTGTGTGTTTTGTCTCTCAGGTCTCTGGACCAGAGGGTGAACGAGAACAGCAGTAAAGTGATAGAGCTGGAGCGAACGGTCAACGAGACCTCCTGAGATGACCGTTAACTCCCCCCCATCCTTACCCCGCCTCTCCTCCCCTTACACCCCACAATGACCTGTGACCCTCCCTCCCCCCCTCTGGAGCATGGTTCAGTGTCCTGGAGCAAACCTCATAAAGTAGCTCCCACTGCTTTTTTTTAATGCCATCTCTGCTTAATCAGATACACTGTAATGGTAGAAATAATAATAATAATAATATTAATAATAACAAACGGGCACTGGTTGCCTTAATTTCTGAAGTAAAGTTGCACTGAATAGTTTTCTCAATGAGTCAACTTACCAGGTTTAGGTGTTGAAAAATCACACTGAGATAATTTCAAACGGATCGAGTGAATAATGCGGCGTGGCATTTATTCCCGTGGAAATTCTATTAAAATATGACATGTGAGGCTTTGTACAGGACACTGATGAGGACTTCTGTATTTATAGAAACCTTTTTTTTGGGTTGTTTGTTTTTCAAAAATTTTTTGCTCTTTGTAGCTATTAATATTTTTATTTCATTCCCGTAATGCATACATCCCATTTTGATACTTGTTTGTGTTCATACTGTATTTAGCGTTTTTATTTTTATTGTACTCTCTTTTATATATTGTTAATGTTTTCGCGCGTCGAGGGCTTAGCTCAGGGTTCCTGCGCTCATTTGGGTAATCTGACAAATTAATATTTTAGATGCTAAAAAGTTCACATTGGCTGCAAAATAATAATTTAAAAAAAAGTTTGTGTTTGATGGAAATAATGCAGTATTACTGACATTTCACAACACTGATATAAACATATTTGAGATGTTTATCAGTTGTGTGGTCAGTCTGAAGCTGCATTAGCACTCATATCCTTTGATTTCAAGGAAATTATTGACTGAAACGGTAAAATCTAACCTACAGTGGATTACTTTCTTCCACAAAAGTTCCTATTTGTCATGTGGGGACCCTGTTAGCTAGCTAGCTTCACCCTTGCGTCTTTGCTCTGTTTGTTTGGCAGTCACTGTGTGCAAGTCAAAAGTCAATATACGAAACTGCAAAACTATTATATTTTTGGTAGTTTAAAGCATCTTAATAGTTTATTTGGAAACAAAATAACAATAATTAGATGAGAAGATCAATACCAATGTTATACCTGCATGCTAAGCATGAAGCTACAGCCAGCAGGTGATTAGCTTAGCCTAGCATAAAGATAAGGGGAAGCAGGTAGCGTGTTTCTGTCAAAAGCTGAAAAAAGCACCCATTACCTTTCCGAAACGTACTAAATAACAAGTAATACACACTAATATTGTAATTTATAAGCTTTAGAGGTGCTGTTGAAAATAATTTGTTGATGTCGCTTTTTCCCCTATTTCCTGTCTTTATGCTAAGCTAAGCTAGCCGCGTCATATTTACAGTATGGACGTTGTGCACTCTCAAAAAGAGATGTTTCCCAAAATGTCGAACTAGGCCTTTAATCCAGCGACACTTTTGCCTTGCACACTTAAGCTGTCAGCTCCAACGGTCTTTATCTGCTATTTTTCAGCGTTTGCCAAAAATATTTCTTCCCAGAAATGGAAAAAAAAGGTATCTATTTTTGTAAATATGAGTTGTTAATAAATAAGAAAGTCTAAATGTGTCTGGGATCTGTAGTTTATGAACCAATCCATAATTCATTCTGGCTCTATTTTGGATTCCGTGCTGTTGATAAATTATGAACGTAAGATGCCTTAGCTGCAGGCTTTGTCCTGACTGTCTGTGGGGTTTTCTTTGTTAATTACACATCATGACTTTGAACGTCTTACCTGTCCACTTCAAGCATGTCACGGATGGGTTTTTAAATGTCTTAGCTTTATTGAAACAAGTCTGATGTTGTAAATACAAGCTGCCATCTGTTTGATGGTAAGTCAGTGACATCCACTGTTCAGACTCAGCCCAGACATGTGGAATTGTTTAGTTATCGACTAAGGGTGAATACAATTTTCAACAGAAACTGGTGACTAGACTAGAAAACAACATTTGTATCTAGTTGTCATGTGTTTTGCAGATCAGTGGATCTATCAAAGATTTATTGTCAAGTCTGTATCTTGATAGGATGCATTGATGATAGAGTTAAAACTATATATTCCTCACTGTGGAGTCTGCAAATGTTCAGATATAAGATCATAGGAAACACAAGATAAAAGTACCGATTTTGTTTTGATTGTTTTATGGAAAATTCTCCTCTAGTCACACCTGAAACTAGCAGCTAGTGGAGAGCATTTTGTTTCCAAATCACATTTCATTTCTTTGCTCCTGTGTAAAGGCAGCCCTGAACGAGGCTTTCTGTCTTCTTGCTTTCAAATAAATAAAGTATTTTCCTTAGTAAAAGCAGCAAAAGACTTGTGAGTGTGTGTGTGTTTTTTATGGTAAACTGTTGATGATGAAGTTTACTTTTTATGGTTGACTTGTTCTGCCTCTCTCACAAAATGTGCTATGATATCACAATGACACGCGTCACCTCAGCCAGTTTTATTTTGACATTTTGAAGGTTTTAGTATGTTGCTAAAACATTTTTTTTTTGACTGATTTAAAGTTTATCTCAACTTAAACGTATTTAAAGGCCACACAGTTTGTCATTTTGGATGAATTTTGGACCATTATAGATTAACAACTTAACATTATTACTTTCATTTACCTGCTACTAAAAGACAGTAACTAAACTGCTACTTCTGTCAGAGGATGATCATAATTTGCTGCTGGCTTCAAAGCATTTGTTTTACAACTTCAAATTAAGTTAGAGAAAACTCTATTAGGGCAGCAAAAAGTCCCATGGTTAACAGGCAGGCTGATAGTGGAGCTTCTATCTCCTCCATCATGACGAGGATCCTAAAATAGATCAGCACCAGCAGCAGTGCCTCATAATGAGTAGTGCGAATTGCTCTGACAGTCCCAAGACAATACACAGTCCCATAGCTTCATAGCAGCCAGCCTCATAGTAACGCTGCTACGACGGATTCCACCAGTACCCCTGTGATGGTGCATCGTGTTGTCATAAAATCAATATAAATACAAGGACTGACTTTAAAATATGTGATGAAACACTTGTAGCCAAGAGACAGTACATACATCATGGAGCTTTGCTCTGATTTCACATTTTGATTCTGGATTGCAGATGTTTGTAAGCACTCAGCTCGTTAATTATAGATGAAAAAAAAAAATCCTTTCGTCAGGGCTTGCAGAGAGTCACTGCGTTGTTTTTGTCCTAATAAGAGCCCACTCTTCTTTAAGAATTATTATTATTATTATTTTTTGAGTCTTTCAAATAAGGATATCATTCCGACAGAGGTGTGTGGAAGTTCCACCTAAAAAACAAAACTTGGGCTGGTAACATCAGAAGATAACAAGTTACAGTTACGAGTTACTAAGTTAGAATTCTGAAATACTAACTCAAAATACTGACTTACTAAATCAAAATTAGGAGATGATAATCAAAACACTAACCTATGAGACACCAAGGTCGCATTTAGTCACTTTTTGTCTCATTTTATCATTATTAAGTCACTACTATGGGATACTAGGTCAAAATGTTGACCTACTAAGTTAAAGTTATCAGACACTAAGTCAAATGTTGACTTCTGAGATACTAAGTCCACGATATGTTACTGAATCAATAATAGTAAGTTAAAAATCTGTGATACTTACCATGTCCAAATTATGAGATATTAAGTCAAAATGCTAACTTATGAGATACTATGCTTGTATTTTGTCACTGAGTCAGTATTAAGTCCACATTGTGTGCTACTATGTCAAAATGGTTCCTAAGTCAAAACGATAAGATACTGAGTCAAAATGTTTGTGAACGTTTGACTTCTTGGACACTTGGTCCATATTTTGCCACTTAGTCAGTTTTAGTAAGCTAAAATCATGTGATACAAAGTCAAACTATGAACATAATACATTAAAATTATCTGATACGAAGTCAAAAGACTGACTTACTAAGTCAAAGTTATCAAATGCAAAGTCCACAGTTTGTCTCTAAGTCAAGACTATTAAATCGGTGTTGAGATACTAGGTCAATATGTTGAGTTACTACACTGGAGTTGCAAGATACGAAACCAAAATGCTAACGTTAGCGATAGTAAGACACATTTTGTGACTGAGTCAATATTATTAAGTTACAATTCTGTAATACCAAAATAAAATATTGACTTGATACATCATAATTATGAGATACTGAGTCAAAATGCAAACATATGTGATACTAGGTCCATATTTTCTTACTGAGTCCTTATTATTTGTTCAGTATTGGGTGATACTGAATCAAAATGATGTCTGACTAGGTCAGAATGATGGGATGCTATGCAAAAAATACTGACGTAAGAGATATTAAGTCCACATTTTATTACTGAGTCAATATTATTAAGTTAAAATAATGGAAGACTAAGTCAATATATTGACTTACTAAATCACAATTATAAGACATTGAGACAAAATGTTAATCTATGTGATACCAAGTCCATATTTTTCTTACTGAGTCATTATTGTTAAGTCAATATTGTGTAACACGAAGTCAAAATGTTGATTTACTAAGTCAACATTAGCTCAGAATGTTGACTTAAGTCACAATTATGATACTATGTCAAAATGTTGACTTACTAAGTCAAAGTTATCAGATCAAAATGTTGATTCTAAGTAAACATATTGACACGTTATCTCATGGTTGTCAAAAAATGGGCTTTGATAGAGGTCAAAGGTCAAAATCCTCTACAGAACTGCACAGACTACATGCAGATTTTGCAGCAGAAAGACAAACACCTCATCAGCCTCACTGGAATTCATACAGGCAGGATGCCAGCCGAAAAACCAAAGACCTAAAAATAGAACTTGGTGTCAATACCGTATCTTCTGTTTGGTCTTTGAAGTTGGCTGCAGTACTAATGGATCTGTTTCACACAACAGTGTTTATTTCTTCTGGGGATTTCCCTGGAAATCAGACATAGTCCAGAGAGGCAGGCTTGCTGCTGACAGAAACCTGATGGGTAAGCAAGCTGCTTTTGTTGTTGCTCATTAATCAAACAAGGCCCGTGTTACTGAGAGAAGGTGAAGCCACTTGACTTCAGTGTTTCAATACGATGGTTTTATGTTAGAGGTCTTACAGATGGCCGGTACACTGAAATCTTAAGGTCTTGTATGAAAGCAAATGAGGGTGAATTTTATCACATTTTAAAAATTCTAATATTTAAAAAAAAATAATTTAAAAAAATCCTTATTTAATGAAATGCAAATGCAAACACAAGATGTAGATGTCCAATATTCCAAAAACTGCATTCAAGTAGCTCAAAATGCACTAATTTATTCAGAAACTGAGCTTGCACAGATGAATGTTATGGCAGATTGTTGTAGCCATTAGATTGCAGCCTACAGGTGTAACTAATAAAGTGGTCTCTGTTTGTATGTCTTTTATTTTACTGGCAGTTTTTAGCAAAAAATGTTGCAACAATGACAAATATAGTGCATGCAACCAAACTGAAGTAATGAATGGAATGATTTGATGAGCATACAGCGTTTCAGGGAATGCAGACAGATGCCTCACTGCAGCAGAAAAAAAGGGTCAGTTAAGGTCAGTGACAATTTGATGAGCCTGATGGTCAAGTGCAGCGAGGTGGAAAAAGAGGCTCACAGATGTGTCCTGATGTTTCACAGGCAGAGATACAGCAAAGTGTAGCGGAAAAGTATAATGAAGAGCAGGAGATGTAACATCATCACAGAGCATATGGACTGTGAGTGTGATTAGTCTCTCAGAGTGAGACACTGACAGTGTGCATGTGTTCCGTGTGTATGCTCACCCTCTGCCCTACTTTCTGACTGATGATGCTGCAGAAAGGGAGAGGGAATATCCCACAATGCCACGCTGCTCGTCCCCTGGGCCAGATGGATGGATGGATGGATGGATGGATGGATGGATGGATGGATGATGGATGGGCGGTCACAGATGGATAAGCGTAAAGATGGATGGATGGATGCTGCAGTTAATTGATGTCTTCACACACTCAATGAGTTTATTGTCGCCGCCCTCACAGCAGCTCGCGCTTTTGCAGTTTTTAAACCTGTGTCAAGTGTATAAGGATCAAATACTACACTTCCTGTTGTGTATTTGGAAATAAAAGGTTTTGTTTTTCTGAAGGGACACCTCTTGGTTGTGGTCATGAGGAGCCTAAAGGCAACTAATGGATACCAGTTTATGCAGTACAATCATATATTAGGCTTTCTAAAGTTTCTAAACTTAAGAACCCCAACATAATATAAAAATGATTTAGATATGATTCTCGCTCCAAGTCATAAATAAATTAAATCACTTAAAAATTGGATTAAATGTGATTTAAAAGACTTTGAGCTCCAAAATAATTCAGCAGTTTTAAGTTTAATTGCCTTGTCATTAACTGGTGAAAAGCTGAGGGAGAAATTAAGTTTATGTATGTGTTGCAAAAACAATAAAGATAAAAAAATAACGATTGGCTCGCCTCTAATTAATGGAAATCCTTAATGTCGGTCAGCAGTCTAAAGAGTATCTGAACCACTTTGATTTGAAATTTTAAAATCCTTTATTAATACATTGATTACTCAGCCAACAGTATCAAATACTAAATTAAAATGTTTGTGTTCTAAATCAAAACAGTGTCAGTACTATTACATCAGTATTATGCAATACTGAGCAGAAAATTGGACTTTCTATGTCAAACTCCATTTTACCAGTTTATACCAGTGCCAATTACAGCTGCAACGATAAATTGATTAATCAAGTAAATCCAACTATTGATTGTCAGTTAAGTTGATAAATGGTTAATGAGTTAGTCAGAATGATAAAGTACTACGTGAAAACAGCAACTTGGTCAAAGCTATCAAATAGTAAGCTAAGATTTTGAGTTAGTCAAAATATGAGATATTAATATGATCTGACAGATTATGTCTACATGTTGACTTACCAAATAGAAATTATGAGATACGAAGACAATGCTAAATTACAAGAGAGTAAGTGTACATTTTAATAAGTCAATATTAAATTAATATTGTGCAGTGCCAAGTCAAAATAACAGCTTACTAAGCCAGAGTTACCAGATACTAAGTCTAAATTCCCTAAAAAAACCCCAACTATTTATGCCAGTACCAATTACAGCTAAAACTATTATCAACTAATAAATTAACTGCCAGTTATTTTGATTTAAAGTCGAAATTCTCTGATTTCTGACTTCCTAAAATGTAATGTGTTTTTGTGTATTTCCTCCTCTGTGACCCTAAATGGAATATTTTTGTGGTGATGACAAAACAAGGTATTTATGGACCTCATGCTGGCCTTGGGGAAACACTACTCGTCATATTTCACTATTGTTTGAAATGTTCTTAAACAGCTCATCCAGTTATGACATTTTGGATAAAGGGTGGTATTTTATTTTGAAGGCAAACGTTCAACCGCATGGCTGACGTTCGCAGCTTGACGTCGCTCGCGCGCTGCTGGTCAGTGGGCTCGTGAGTGCAGTTCGGTCTGTTGTCCAGGCGGCTGCGCGTGCTGCCGTCGCTGGCCGCAGTATATAAAGACGGTCAACGGTCACAAGCCGCCACGGTCAACGCTCGCGCCGTCTCCGCCGTTTGATTTAAAAGCCCCGCAAACATTCCGGTTCTCCTCACCGCCACCGGCATCCGTGTCCCCTCACAAGCCGGGGGAGAGGGGGGTCCAGCGCGGGGCGAGACAGCCGAGGACCGACCAGCATGGACCCCCAAGCAAAGGACCGCACCAGCCCGGCGGCGGGGGGCTTCAGCGGGCGTCTGGCCTCTCTGGGAGCCGACGGGGGTGACTCTGAGTCCGGAGCCGGCTCGGAGGAGGCTGCCGTGGGCTGCTGCAGCGATACGTTCAGCAGCCTGCCCGACATGGAGCAGGATACTCTGGAGGAGAAATTAAGAGGACTGGCGTTCAGAAAACAGACCTCGTATCGGTGAGTGGAGAGCGGGGAGGATGCTGGGACAGGATGCTGGTCAGAGGAGGATATGTCGGCGTTTTTATTCATGTGTTTGTGCGGATATTTCACAGACGGACATTTGGGGATAAAAGCGGAGTGTGTTATGAATGTGCTATTCCTCATGTTTATTATTTTAGCTAATGCTATTGAGAGAATGACACGTATGCTAGCTACAGCTTGTAAACAAAAACACAGGAGGGGACACCGACAGAGTGGTACTTCAGCTCGGACAGCTCGGTTGTCATGTGAAGCTACACATGTTGTGGTGGGGCAGGTTAGCCACGTTATCACGACCAGCCTCAGCACTGGTGTGATGGCAGCAGCGTTTTAGCCCCTTCAGTGATGGATCAAAACAATTTCGCAGACAATGTGTGCTTTGCTCTTGTAGCCTGTTGGAACATGTGAGGTTGGGGGGGGGGCAGGGACACTATTGATCCGTGTGTGTGTGTGTGTGTGTGTGTGTGTGTGTGTGAATGCCAGCAGCAGCCTGACACCCCAGTGCGACTGGCAGCTGCTGTTGATAGTGAAAACTGGCCAGAGACCAAGCAGGCACACGCACACAGCAGTTTGGGCTGTCAGATGTCACTGTCAGGAATGTGTGGCATCTATCTATCTATCTATCTATCTATCTATCTATCTATCTATCTATCTATCTATCTATCTGTGATCTGTCATTTGAGGTCAAATCAATCGCTTTACCTTGTTTGTGTCTGATTGGAGACAAAATAAAGCAACAATCCATCGATCCAGAAACGCCTAAAATGCAACAATACCATCAAAACTGTAGCTCGAAACCTGCCTTTGATTATGTGTTCATTTCATTTCCGTCTCCTTCTGTCTGCATTAACATTATTTGAAGATTATTTACCAAAATAAGGTCTTTATTCAGCTAATTAATTTCATTAAGCAAGAAAGAATACGCACAGCATAAATGGATCCTTTTATTCCACAAGTTAATGGTCCAATCAAATTAAACATGCCTCATGTAAACATGTCACAACTGAATAAACGGGCTCATTTGAGACGGAAAAAAAAGTCATGTCGTTTTAAAAAGGGCTGGTCCATTATAATCCTATTACATTCTGTTTGAAGGATGATAATTTGTCCGGTTGATTGTTTTCTTTTTTTTTTTTTTCGGCAGTTTCCGTGGTCTTTTTAAACACCAATTTGTGTTACACGCACTGTAAGACATTAAGCAGAAAGCTCATCACTCTTTCACTTTTATTGTGTCATCATTTACAGTCTTTTATCCGGTGGGTGTTTTCCCCGGGGGAAGCCATCTTTGGTTAAGTGGGGTTTCCAGGAGATTGTGCATCCTGGGAAGTGCAGCAGCTGGTTCGTCTTCTCCGGTTTTACAACCTCAGGAGTAGTCTGTTGTGACAAAACTGTTGCCTCAGTAGAAAATGCAGCTGGTGAAATCCTGGATTTGGTACATATCAAACTCTTATCTAGTTCATGTCCTCAGGAGGAAAGGCTGAAGATTTCTGTACTGCTGGCAGAAGTCTTGGAAGTAAACATTAGATGGGAGAAATCATTTGACGATGACAAGATTTGCTGCAGAATTTCAGCATAAAGTGTTTTTTTTAAATTTGCTCAACTTGAATCCAAGAAATGAGTGTTCCATGCTTAGAGCAGTGTTCACCTGCTGATACTCCTTAATCTTCAGTTTACTGCAGTGAGCACTAAATGGAACATTCAAATCCAGTCAAATATTAAAGACGTAAAATGTTCAGAATTTGTATGTGGTGACCTTGTTAGTCTGCAAGTTCTGCCTGCATGATAGTTGTCTCACATAGTCAGAACGTTCTCCAGCACAAGAATGGTCTGACTGCACTTATATCATTCAGCTATGGGGGAAGAACCACTCTGCCTTGTTTATATTTCTTTAAACCAATTAATTTTGGTCGACGCTAAGCCCAGGATGTAGTGATGGTGACCCTGCAAAATTATTTCCGGCTCAAACTTGTTTTGGTGGAACATTTGCAAGCAGAGACGTGAGAACTGAAGATGGCGGATTCACCGAAATGCCAAGCAGAAATACACAATCCAGATCATTAACAAAACTTCCCATCTTCAGTGTGTAGGTTGGCGTTTGGAGGCTATTGTTTCCCTTAGCGTAGGGGATGTTGAAAACGGAACATGCCGATAGTGGAAGGAGCGGATAATACTGTTTGAAAGGCGCTTGAAATGATTTTTTTAGGACAAAATGCGACAACTGCTTTGCTGTGCTGTGCTGTGAAACCTATTATTTCCAATGGGTTGTGTAGTGCACTGCCTGGTGGGCTGGAGTGAGCACTTTAGTTTAAGCTCGAATTCGGTTAACTTTAAGTACCCACACATCCAGTAGAACCCAGTCAGGCACAGAAGACAAAACAGATCTGTGTCTAAATTCACCAAATTATATGCATTTATAATGAGAGCTCGGGAAGAAAGCCCGATTTTGGGAACATGTTTCCGTCCAGGAAGGTTTGTCAGATGTGTTGATCTTCATATACAATGAATAGCTTTACAAGGCAGCTAGCGTATGTAAACAGAGCTTAGGTTTATGTGCCTCACTCAGTATTCTACAGATCTATTAACACTTCTTTATTAAGGTATAATTGCCATACAACATATTTTACTGACATGGTGATGGAGTGTCACTAGAAGTTGTAAAAACTCCACCTATTTTGGTCTGCTCTCCGTGGCCCCACCAGCAGCAGGCGCAGTGCAAACCACCGTCCTGAAAGTGCTGTTAAACCTGCAGTCTGCATCTGGTGAGACAGGCTTAAGTGGTAACTGTGTGCAAGTCAGGAGACAATATTTGACATTTGTTCTGCCAAAGAATTTTAGTTTTGGTCACTTAAAACATCTGAACATTTGCCAGATTGTTCTTACTGCAGCTGGATCAGTTTGGATGCTTGTAGTCAAGCAGCAAACTAAACCTACGATGCTTCAGTATGCTAACTCGTCCCCTTGCTTTTGTCACTTGTGTCTCTTTATTGTGTCTAAGCTCCTCCCAGTGAGGATGTGAGGTAAGAGGTGTTTCCTCACTCCAAGCCCCTCCACCTTGTCTCCTCAAGGTGCACTGAAGTATTTGAATGGCGGATGGGGAACGATTCCTACAGCACAGTTAAAGCACTGCTATGCATCCCACATTGTTGCCTTTAGTCTATTTAGGGAATATTTTAGAATGCATATTTACCTGCCTTTTTCCTAAAAAGTAGATCAGTGCCACTCTCCTGTCTGTATGGAACTCCTGCAACAGCTGGTTAGTTTACCTTTGCTTAAATACAGGAAACAAGAGGCTCTGTGTGACAACAACAAAGTCTGTCTACTTGTACCGCTGACCATTTGAAATTCATATTTATCTCTGCTCAGGTTTTTGTGGATAGAGCATCTACAATATATGCAAAAATACAGTGTATTTATGTGTATATGTGTTAAAAATAGGATAAGGAGTGAAAACCACAGGGTCACTATAGGAGAAAATTGGCAAAAGCAAAAGTGTGAGAAGAAAAAAAGCTGTAGCCAAGGACGACGAGAAACATTTTCCATCCATGTCACTCTGTGCTCTGCTGCTGGTTCCTGTCATTTCATTCAGCACTCGTGTACTGTAAACGGCTTCAGTGGAATCCCTCGTTGGATTAATTTCATTTGGAAAGAAATTTTTTTTTGGCTCATGTTGCTGCCGTCACCAGAGTGCATTTTGCTGAAAGAAGAATGTGCAAATAACAGACCAGGTGGTTTGAAAATATGACATATTACTAATAATAAACAAGCACTTTATATACTGTATACATGGTGAACATACTCCACTTACACTTATTGTTGTCGGAGGTTTGTGTGGGATGAATACCAGAATAACCTCAGTTATTCTAATTGGAGTTTTGCATGATGTTGTCACCATAACTAGAGATTTCAGCGTATTTTATGTTGTGTTTTTATTCCTTCACAGCATGCTAATTGTAAGTTAGGGCTGCATGAAGGCAGTCTGGTGCATTTAATTATGCCAAACAAATCTCCTTTTCTTCTAGCAGACTGTAGCGTCAATTAACGTGCCATGTCTTGAGTTGTTTTGACCTTCGACCTTATTGGATAAGGCTATGGATTATCTGTGAATTTCCCTCTTTGTACAATCAACCATGTGGAAGAAATGGAATTAGCTGGTCCAGGGAGATGGCTTGTATGAAGGTGGTTTACATAGCTTTGAAGTGGCCAATGCCAAGAAGTGAATTACCATATGTGGCAATATGAAAGGGCTTAGAAATGATGCTGTTGAAGATCAAAGGCAGCGTGTGTGCTTTTGTGTGTGGGGTTGTGGTATTATGTGTTTACGGCAGCATGAGGCACGTGTAACTTATCTGCCAGACATTCGTCACACTTTGTGTCTGTGTGTGTGTGTGTGTGTGTGTGTGTTCCCAGAATACTGTCCCTCCTTTTATCTATTCTTAGACGTCTCACCCGTCTGCCTGCATGACAGCCCTTCCTCTGTCAGGGAGACAGCGGCTTTGTGTATGTGTGCGTATCATGCCAACCAGTTAGTCAGCACACCGGTTAGTGTGTAAGACGCTACTTCAATTAGCTGGTCAGTCAAGCGGCTGGACACTCAATCTGTAAGTGAGTCAGTGCCTTGTTTTAACAAGCACTTCCTGCCGATCTGCGGCAGTCAGTCAGTCATGGTTTCATTTATACGATTTTTGGACTACCAAGCTGTCAAAAGGTTTAGTTTATCTACAATATTGGAGCTCTTAAAATATTTTAAACCTCTACAGTTTCCACAAGCCATAAAACTGAGCCTGAGCAGAGTTCCTGGAGCAGCGTAGCCTGAGACCATAGTGAAACAGCTCCATCTCTGCTCACTCCTTATGAAGTCCTAATGTACTTAAAGCCAATATCTGGATGCTTACACTATTTCCTGCAATACTCTATTAATAATGCTGCAGTTGACTAATGGCTGTGTTGCAACTATTGTATAAAATATTCAGTGCAATGAG